GGCAATCTACTTCCGTAGTGATACTGCCTCGGAAACCCAAGGAGGGGTCGCTATGAGTCGGGGCCGACTCGACGGCAAATAACAACAACAACAACAACAACAAATAGTTTCACAGTGAATCAGAATCAACTTCACAGACACATGTTTGAATTTCTGTAGGTATTTTTGGTTTTATTTTTGTTATTGTGTTTATTTTTATTAAAAGAAAGTATATAGCACACTTAAAAGGGAAAGACATTTTTATGCATTCTCCACTGGGATCAGACATGCCATCTCCTAAAGAAGGGTGGAAATGTACAATCACACCACTCTTGTCCCTCAGCTTAGTGTAGTGTCTTCTAACCACATTTCAGTGGTTCTGAGGAGTTAGAGGAGCCCTCCTCCCTTCTCTGGACTCACCTCCACTGTCTTTTCTTGTCCGTCAGTCAACTATAGGCTGTTGAGGAAGCAGCTGGGCAAAGGAGAAAGGTCTGATAGAGGTGAGGCCCTTCCATCAGGTCCCACTCTGTCACCTCCAAACTCTGTCCAAATTCCTTAGGGCCAAACTGATGCTGGCATGTACTGCACTAGGCACCAGATGGTCTGGGTATTTTTAGTCATAGGGGAGGGACTAAAGGAGCAAGGCCTGATGGCTGAGGAGTGTCTCCAGCTTTTAAGTTATATAAAGAAGATCTGTTCATGATGGAGCCACTAAAGGGAAATGTTGCCTGGCTCAAGGGCTTTTCAACATAGATATGATTTTACCATTGATAAGTTCAGTAGGAGTAAATCTGATGTTTATTTAATACAGAAAATCATGTATAGATAGATTAAATACTAATTTATGATCTCTGAAACAAGTTCAAAAGTTCCATTTGAAGAATATTATAAAAAAAACTTTATAAATTATAGCTGTGGTATTTGTTTCCTGACACTGCCCACCATCCTACTGGAAAATGATTGCAACCTTTCAGCATAGTTTTACATGTCTCTATCTGATCATGATGATGATGTTTTCTACTTGTCACTCCTGTCCCACTATAATGTGGGAAATGGCATGAGTTATTTTGGGAAAGAGAGATCGAGATGGGACATAAAAATCCATAGAATAATGACATAGAATGCAGAATTTTTTTACGTTGAAGTATTAAGGTATGAAACAAAAATAGTTGGGGAATCTTTGCTTAAATTCACTGACTATAAATTCCAATTCACTGGTTTTTGTGTGCACATATGTATACAGCACTTATGTTTTATACTGGCTGGTATCCTTTGGTATAATTATGATGTTTTGCTTGTCACCAGACTAATGGAGCATTTATGTTCTTTTGAGCATGTGACCCATCTGATGCTCATTTTCTTAGTTACCAGAATTATAATCTTATTATCAAAAAATTTTAGTCCTCTTTTGTCATGTACCTATTTTGCTTCCATTTACTTCCCCTCATTGTGTATTTATTAATATAATGGCAAAAAAGAGGAAACATGGCTGTTGGCACT